GTTACGAGGCCTCCTACGGGTTACCAAAAGAGGGAGTTGCATGTTGTAAATATAAGAGATGCGGTGAATATAGAAGGAAGTTTTGTGTACAAATCAGATATAGTAGTTAAAAAATCCAGGTTGTATATAAGTGGGATATGGAATTCTCTAGTAGGTTTAGGTCGCAGATAGTAGTCAAGACCTGTTTGAGCCATAATGTATTTAATAATAGTATATAACAATTGTATCACATAATATATACAAAATATATGCTTATAATAAAGTCACGAGGCATGACTTCACCTTAATACCGAAAAAAAATAAAAATAAACATCTTATAAGATATAAACTTTATTTGTTATTAATTGCTCATATTATAAAATAAAGGTCTATCTCTAATAGCAATGACCCAATTAGCCTAATAAATTCAACAACCTTTCTTGAACTTATTTAATTTAAATACATTAAAGCCCTTCAAATATAACTTATTTGTAAAAATGATGTATTGCTAAAAACTAAAAAAAATTAAAATTGACTCCTTAAATTTATGCAGTAAAAATTATAAAAAAAAATTACTTAAATAACTTATCTCATATGTAATTTGGTTTTTTTGTTTGAAAAAATGCCTAAGAGAACAACTCTTACTAATTATCAAAAACATAAACTTTGTGTCTATGCTTGTGATAATAAAAAAACTTGGTTTCAATATGTTGAATGAATTGAGAACAAATAGAACCTTAAAGTTGACGAAAGTACAATTTCATGTATTTTAAAAACAACAGAAGAATGACTTGATGACAATCATATTAATTCTAATACAAAGCATTACAAAGCTGTTATCTATCCAGAACTTGATCTAACCCTAAAGGAGTTTGTATTGATTTATCAGCATTGAACTGATGCTTTACTAGTTGAAAAAGCAAAAGTACTTGCTGATAGTTTAGAAATTCCTTAAAGTGCACTAAGTTTTTCTCCTAGCTGGCTTTACAAGTTCAAAAATCAAACTAGTATTCATCTATGTAAACTTCAAGGCAAATCTGCATTTGCTAATGTAGTGGCAATTAATAATATCATAATATTAATAAAGAATATATATTCAAATTACTCTTCCAAACAGATCTACAACATGGACGAAACTGGGCTTTTCTATCAGTATAACATATACATTTTAAATAAAATAAATTTAAATGGATTTAGATTTTTCTTTTTATATAAACCATATTACTAAAATTTACCTTTAGGTTAGAACCCAATCATACATTGATGACCCAATGTTTTTCTAGATGTAAAATAAGTAAAGAATGGCTCTTAATTGTATTGTGTACAAATGCTAATGGCTCCCATAAATTGAATTCTTTTATAATTAGAAAATATAAAAAATAGTGTTGTTTTAAAAATATTAATATTAGTAATTTGGCGATAATATATAGAAACAGTACTAAAGCCTGGATGATCATATCTCTTTTCCATGAATAGATCCTTAAATTTGATTGCCAAGTTGGTTTGAAGTATTGGGGCCAATGTATGCTTTTACTTCTTAACAACTACTCTAGCCATGATATTGGTAATATTACTCTCAGATTTACTGATGTTTTATTTTTGCCTTCAAACACAACCTTGAGAATTTAGCCTATAAATACTGGTGTTATTGTTAATTTCAAGAGAAACTATTGTTGGCTTTATATTCAGTAAGTTTTTTTTTTTAATAAAAAAAAATCGAATCAATCAAATTAGATGTTATACTAATTAGATCATTTTTAAATTGGATATTACAAGAAGTTGAAAATGGATGATATACAGAAAATTTAAAAATAGATATGTTACAAGCAATCCATTTTACTATTCAAGGGTGAGACAAAGTTAAAGCTAATACAATCTGAAATTGCTAATATTACACAGAAATTCTTTCTGCAAATGATGACTCTGACTCAAGTTTTTTAGAAGATTTTTGCCAAACTACAGATTCTATTATCAATGATATTGCTAATATACTTGAATCTCTTGGTCTTTCTAACTTTATAAACATTAAAGAGTACCTTGCAATTTCTGAAGAAAATATTATTTATAAAGTTTTCCTGATGATCAAGTTATTATGAAGCTTGTTAAAATCTTCAAAATGGATGATCCAATAAATACTGACTTGGAAGATACTGATAATAGTCTTGAAATCTCTATCGTTAGTGCTGACATAGCAACTGCAAGTTTGAAAACCATGCTTACATTTTTACTTTAGCAGAATAATACAGAAAATATATTAATTATATAAAAAAAGTTAAAAATTTTATCAAAAAGATGAAGGTTGGCCACATGCAACAAAGTAAAATTGATCGATTTTTTATAGAAGGAAATTAAATAATAAATCATTAGCTATTGTTTAGATAGCATAGATTTCTTTCTTTCTCTGTTTGTTACTTTTCAATAGTTTAATAAATATCAAAAATTTTTGCTTATAAGAAAAATTTTTTTTTGGAATAATAATTTATAAAAAAATGTTTATGATCCAGTATGCAATAAACCCAATAAAAATAATAATTGATAACACATTATCTATAGAACAGATAGAACAGATAAAACCTTTATTGTTAAAAAATTAGTTTATAAAGTCAACATATCCTCTAATCGAAATTAAAGGCCTAAATTTAACTTCTTGTAAAGGGAATTATGATAATGGAATTGGCTCTTTAAATTTAGATAACTATATATATATATTTATATGTATATATATACATAACTGGCAAGGTTAACTTTTATAATATTTGAAGCCAGGTTTGTATAAAACGATCTCATATCTGTATAAAACAAATTTTTAAAAAAGATACAGTATATAAGGTTGTCTTGCAAATTGTATATGTGTGTTGTTAATACGGTTTGCAAAAAATTCTTTATTGTGATTGGCTAGCTTTGAAATTAGTCATATGCATATATTTAAAGAGGTGTATATATATATTTAAAATCTTGGAAACCTGTACATATGTAGAATATAGAGGACATTTAAGTCCCAAGCTTAGAACCGGGCTAAAGTGTGCATATAGAGGAGGTGTGCACTTAGAAGACATGCATTTAGAAGGGTGCAACTGTAGTTATAGATATAGATATAACAATTTGTTCATTTCATTACAGTTCTTATTAATATTAAGATACTAAATTATAATTAAATTAGTAACATTATTTTTTTTTGTATTAAGTGATCCTACTTCTATTTATTTTTTAAACTACTATAAAATAATTATACAATAACAACTTAAGATAGTATATTGCTCTACTCTAATAGAAACTCACCAAGCCGAAGCCCAATGCGACCAGCTATAACAACTGTTAGTCTCATAGCGGGATTCGAAACTAGCTTCAGATTTTGTATTGACAAAGGATACCCTCCTCGATTATTTGATAGACCATTGTATACCGCGTCAAGATCTCTTTTTTCCTTTCTAATTTTTCCTTTTTCTCAAGGGGCACGAGACAAAAGAGGAAAATTTTCAAACAAACAGTAATGAAAACAACCAGAAAAAAAGAAAAAACAGAAAAGAAAAAAGAAATACTGATTGCAAAAAAAAAAAAAATATAAAAAGAAATCTAAAACCCTGAAGACACTATTATAGCTCATGCATAGCTGATAAAAATTATATAACAAATGCAACATTTGTATATCTCTACTGTAAAGCTATGCCTTAACGTTAAATTTACTTTCCGACCTTCTCACCAACTCTGAATAGCTTCATTACCCATTCTAATTTGTTTTTTGAGCCAGGTGCTGCTGTTGTCTAAGGACTCATGTCTCGGTTCTACAACAAAATCCCGAAAACTATTTTCCTGAAAGAACATAATATTGATTAAATTGGCCAGCATTATAACTAATGCTAGCTAACTTTGTCGGTATTAGATCCTTTCGGGAATCTGTCTTTCAGGATTTTGTGGTAAACCCATCTCAAGCCACCTGCTGCCATAATTAGAGTTCTCAGGCCGAGTCTCATGAAAAGGCACCATATTCATCTATAAACAAACACATAATTGCATTCCGCTAATCTGTCCGAATTTGAGAAGTAAACAATGCCAATCTTTTGGAAAGGGTAAGCCAAATCCCCACTTTTTGTTGAAATTTTTTGGAAGACCGATGGAAGGATAAAAGAGAGTAAAAAGGTATCACTTGACCAAGTAAAAAGAGTATGGCTTGAAGAAAATAACAGAATATTTTGTTATTCCCCAGTGTCTTCAAAGAAGTACGATCTAAAAGCTTTGTCGACTAAAAGAGAGAAGCGACTAAAGAGTCCTCTTCTCCACCAAGATTTTTTGTACAAGGGCACCTTCTGCCAGTTATCTTGTATAATAATACTCTTGGATTGCATACCGAATATCATATATAAAGGAGTCCCAAAGCAGAATATTGACCTCTAGACAAACCACTACATTAGGCTACGACTCTTCAACAAAATTTGTGTTTTTCTTCTGTAAAAATTTTGGACCGAGTGATTGTCAGAAAAAGTTTGTCAATGAAATTAGTAATATTAATATCATCAAGAAATCAATTTGATCAGTATAATATCAGTTAGTGTAAATTGTAAATTTAATTAATTGTTAAAATATTAGCATAAATTAAGTTAAACTAAATAAATTAATTTTATCAGTAAATTAATATATAGAAATTTATTAAATTATATGACAATCTGTTCATTTCATCACAATTCTTATTAATATTAAGATATTAAATTATAATTAAAGTAGTCACTTTAATATCATCAAGAAATCAATTTGATCAATAAAACATCGGTTAGTATAAATAATAAATTTAATTAATCATTAAAATATCAGAAAAATTAAGTCAAACTAAATAAATTAATTTCATCAGTAAACTATTATCAAGAAATTTATTAATTATATGACAATCTGTTTATTTTATTACAATTTTTAATAATATAAAGATATTAAATTATTATTAAATTAGTTATTTAATTATTATCTAGTAATTTATATGATTAATAAAACATTGGTTAGTATAAATAGTAAATTTAATTAATTGTTAAAATATCAGCTTATATTAAATCAAACTAAATAAATTAATTTTATTAGTAAACTATCATCAAGAAATTTATTAAATCATATGACAATTTTTTCATTTTATCACAATTCTTATTAATATTAAGATATTAAATTATTATTAAATTAGTCACTATCATATATTCAAAAACTCTTCCCGACGATCATCTGGACCAAAATTTCTACTAAAAAAAAACAGAAAATTTGTTAGAGAGTTGTGGCCTAACGTAGCAGTTTGCCTAGAGGTCAATGATTTCTCTGCTGGGACTCCTCTATGTGGGCATTTGGCATACAAGCCAAGAGCATTATTATACAAGATAACTGGCAGGAGGTGCCCTTGTATAAAAAATCTTGGTGGTGGAGAGGACTCTTTAGATATTCCAGACACCCCTCTTTTGCCGTCAACGAAGCTTTTAGATCGTTACTTCAAAGAAGAATACAGGGGAACAACAAAATATTATATTTTTCTTTTAAGCCGCACTTTTTTTACTTGGTCAAGTGGTTTCTTTTTTACTCTCTCATTTTCCTGTTGGTCTTCCAAAAAATTCGACAAAAAGTGGGGATTTGGCTTACCCCCTCCAAAAGATCGACATTGTTTACTTCCCAAATTCGGACAGATTAGCGGAATGCAACCACATGTTTGTTTACGGACAAATATGGTACTTTTTCACAGGACTCAGCCTGGGAACTCTAATTACGGCAGCAGGTAGCTTGAGACACAGGTCCTCGGATGACGGCAGCACCTGGCTCGAGATACAAATTAAGACGGGCAATGAAGCTATCCAGAGTTGGTGGGAAAGTCGAAAAGTAAATTTAGTGATATTACCCAGGTTACAAAATAGTGATCCGGGTTAATAAAGTTTGGGTCAGATACTAACCCGGGTTATAACCCGGATTATACGGGTTAGCCAATTAGAGCTATCTCCTGTGCGTTTTTATTATCCTAGCCAATCAGCACAAACTATGTTTCACAACAAAACCGAATCTCCCTTATTCTAGCCAATCAGTGCAAGCTACATTTCACTTATGCATAACAGCATAACAAGTGAATAGATTATCGTTTAATTAAAAAAAAATCTAAAGTCAACCGTCGAAGCAA